GTTGAATATTGTTTAAAGCGTTCAGCTGATTACATAAAACGTAACAATGCCAAACTTAAGGATGTTGTCCGATTTGATATCATTGATATCATAAAATATCACGAAATACACTGTAAAAGATGAGATAGAAGAACATACTCATGATCGACTGCTGTCATTGGACTGCAATAATGAGTTCGATATTCGGCACTGTGCTTGAGGTGAGGCTGGCGAGCGTGATAACAAATCGAACTGAGGTAGCATGCCCGATGTAGGTAGTCTTCATTCTTGCCACTCGCCGCATCAGTATCTTCGTCAGATATCTTAAATAGTATATGGGACAAGTTGCTTACCTGAACAAGAAATGCGTACGAGAATACCAATACGACTGCTTGATAATCAACATGCAATCGCATAGAAATGCTACCAAACCGAACTCAAATAAGGAGCAAAAACACTCAAAGATACACTACCGAATTAAGCAACAGCTGTGAAGAAGTGGAATACACTTGCAAATGATTGATGCAAGCTCTCAGATCATATCTCAGATATTTCGCCATCTTATGCAAAAACCCATTCGGAACATCATTTCGACCAGTTGCAACAAGTATCGCCTTAAAATCACATCCAAACACAATATGAAAGTTGTTTTCCAGATAAAATTACAACAAAAATGACGAATAAACTCTTTCACGGAATGAACATCAAAGGGAACAACGAAAACGAAAAGATCTGATCCTAATAAACGGCTACTAACATTAAGATATTCACATATTTGATGCTCATCTGGAAGAAACATATTAACATGATGAGCCGCGACAGGTAGCTCCCGACGAACAAGTTCAGCATCTGAAAATTACGAACGTGTAATGTTCTGCTCACTCGTCACAAGACGCCTAAACTTACCGGAACAAGTCACAACAACGGGGGCTCTAGCTTCCGAGCATACAGTCGTTAATGTTGACCAGAAGTTTTCTTCATCACCAAATGTTACGTCAGCCTAAGAAATAAAGCGTGAATTCGGTGTGCGTGACTAGTCAAAATCAAAACCGACTGAAGCCTTAGGAAGCGACTATTTGCGAAAACTGACTTCAGAATGCTGTTGTTCGTTCGATTTGAGGCCTTATAAATTCTTTTTTTCTCAACATAACAAAGTTATATAAGAATGAACGGGCGCTTCAATTGACGAACGACTTCATCAACACTGACTGAGTAATGATCACGAGATCAAAACGCTTACATCATCGATCAAAACAATTGGTGGTTGCGCACAAAGGGGCATCGCATTGAACGATCGCATCAGAGGTGAAACCGCTACCTAAATTAGTTGAGATTCACAAACAGAAATCGAAAATTTATTTTCAAATGACGGAAAGACTGAGCCAACACAGAATAATGCGCTCAGCAAGCCCATGTTTAAATCTGATCGTAAAACTCATTGCTTTCGAAGTTGTGTTGGCTATAGTTATTCTGATGAATGGTTACTACAATAGCACTAAGATTACGATTATGATTAAGATTACGATTATGGTTGCCACAGTTATAGCCAATAATCTTTATAACCATAACTCACTTGNTAAGATTACGATTATGATTAAGATTACGATTATGGTTGCCACAGTTATAGTCAATAATCTTTATAACCATAACTCACTTGGTAATTCTGCGTTGCACCAGATATTTTTGATCGTATCAGATTAGCGCTACGTTTTTCACTGGCTGACAACTCAACAAGACGCATTTGCAACTCTTCAGCAATTAAGTGAACCTTCAAAATGACTCAATTTGAAAATATTGCTTCGGACATCACGAATACGATGAGACGTTGGTATCAAATAAATGAAAACGAAATAAAAAAACATATCCGATGGTACTAGTACAGCTAAAATGAATTACCAATATTATCCGTTTAATTATTCAGAATCATTATCCACTTAATTTTAGAGATCGTAAAATTGGAAAGGTCAAAAATGAACGATAAATTAACCAGTGTGCTTTTACCACATCCACACGGCCCTGAAAGAATGAGAACACTTTCTGACACGTCTCCGTTATCGTTGGTGTATTCTTCATCACTGTCATCCGAATACAACAAACAATTTTTTCGCTTTTG